AGGAGACCTCTAAGATCAAGTCCAACCATTAACCAGTCACTGCTGGAACCACTAAACCCTAACCCAGATCCTCCAGTGCCAGACCCAGATGTCTCTGAAACACCTCCAGGGATGGTGACTGCACCACCTCCCTGGGCAATATTCCAGTGCTGAACACCCTCACAGAGAAAACATTGTTCCTCACATCTAATCTGAATCTCAACTAAATCTCTTAACTAAGATATACATCTAACTACGCTGAGTGAAACCTGCTGTTTCTGGGCTCCAACCACTGCATCCTCCCAGCACACATGGCACGAAGAGGGGAAGTACACCTTAGATATCTGACCAAAAAAAAAAAAAAAAAAAAGCAAGGAAAAAGACTTACCTGTGAAAAATACCACCCATACAGGGGAAGCCACTTTAAGCCATCCTTCAAGACATAGCGGACATGCCCCAGAGCATCCTGCCTAATTGCCAGCATGTCTGCAATAATCCAATCAACTGCCGAGACAAAAGCCCAAAACGTTTAGTTAAATGAGTCCTTAATGGCCACTGCTGAAACAAAAAGCACATGTTGTACTTATAAATGTCATTTAAAGGTTTCTGAGCTAGTTCTTGCTCATTAGGGCAAGGCTGGAAAAGAGACAGAGTGAACAGACAAAAAGGATTTTTAAATCTATACAAGTGCTAAGACAAGCAAAAAAAAATATAAATACAAACCTGTACACTGATGGTTTGATAAATATATTACATTTTCTTTATTTTTTGGCAAATCCCCGTAGATTATTACCTAAAAAATTAAAAAATATGTCGTATTACTTTATTAGTTATGTTCATTGCATTAAGCAGTGATGAGATCCAATGCAGTAATTGGCTATTTGTTAGGAAAATTGTCAGGATCAGTAGCAGACAAACACCCCATCAGGACCCACCACCCAGACAACTAAATATCAACAATTAAATATTAATTAATGAGGGCTTAAGGAAGCTATTCTCTTCTTGTGCCTTAGCCCAAGAATGGGATCCATGGAAGTTGACCTACATCCATGAGACGAATAGAATGAAAGTTCCTGAGGAATCACAGCCGTGTACAAATCACCATTTAGCTTTATACATCCCATGAGGAAGATGTTTCAGCCAGACATTTGTTACCACTCAACCTCAAAAGGGAAGTTTGCCTGGATTAGAACAAAATCTCAACCATTTGCCATGACTTGAACCATCAAAACTGAACACAAAAGCATGAGGTGCCTTTAAATTGGTCTGTGGCTTCCAGCCAGCATGTTTTCTTGGTTTTTTTTCCCCTCCATTGCATTAAAGACACCCTTTAACCTTGTAGTTTCTCACCCCTGAAAGGTAATGGCCTACTAGGGAAATAACCTTGTGAGCATGACTACAAACCCAGATGCTAAAGCAGGAATCCTACTCACCCTTGTCAGATGGATTCCTTCAATTACTTTTATTTCAAGCATCAATTGAGACATGAATTAATTCAAATTCTGAAGAATCAATGCAGCTGTTAAATTACCTTTATTAAATACGTTCATTACTTAATGAAGTTGAGTTTTTCCAACCAGTACATTCTAGGCAGCATTTTACTCTTGCTCTGCCAATACCAATGGGTATAGTCCTCGTTTCTAGATGTTAGCTGTAGCACACATAACACACTACTTGGAAATTACTCCATTCACCCAAAAAACAAAGTGATATTTGGGAGGTTTACCCACTTATTATTATCACTGCCCTAACCTGGACAATCTTGGAATTTTATCAGGAAGATCTAACTAACATTCAGATCTTGATTGGTATCATTTAATCTGCCGAGTCTCATTTTGATGCTTACAGAAGGTCTCTAGACCTTTGGAAAATCTGCCCACCTGCCAGTGAACCTGTGACACTGGATGGATAATGCCTCATATTGCTAACATCAGGCAAAAGCCTCATATAAAGCTGCATTTTTTATGTGGAGTATTGTGTTCAATCCTGGTCTCCACAGTTCAGGAAGGACAAGGAGCTATTGCAGAGGGTCCAGGGGAGGCCACAAGGATGATTACTGGGGCATCGCATCTCTCTTATAAGAAGAGACTGAGGGAGCTGGGCCTGTTTGGTGTAGAGAAGACTGAGAGGAGATCTCATCAATGCATATAAATATCTCACAGGTGAGTGTCAAGAGGATGGTGCCAGAGTCTTCCCAGTGACAGGACAATGAGCAATCGCCATAAATTAACACATAAGAAGTTCCACATCAACAAGAGGAAGAACTTCTTGCCATGGAGGGTGGCAGAGCACTGGAACAGCTGCCCAGGGAGGTCTTGGAGTCTCCTTCTCTGGGGACATTCCAAACCCACCTGGATGTGTTTCTGTGTCCCCTCCTCCAGGTGACCCTGCCTTGGCAGGGGGGTTGGAGGAGATGATCTCCAGAGATCCCTTCCCAGCCCTAACAATTCTGTGATCCTGTTTTACATTCACGCTGTTTCTCCTCTGAAAACACAACTGCACCGTTGATCACATTTTGTGAAACCAGATATGGGCAAACATTCAGTAACTATGTGACCAGGAGATCATTCAGCACACAGTAAAGAGGACACTACTTATCTGAATTAATGTTTTCCAAGAAAAAAAAAAAGAGGCATGCACAATAAATTCTAACTGAGCATTATTTGTACCAAGTCAGTCGACAAGTATGCAAGAAATTCAAACAAGATTTTGCTGTAGGAGTAATCTCCTCACTGAAGCTCCAGAACTTACCACCTTACTGCTGACACTAGGAACTGTTTGGTCCAAGGCAGCAGTCTGAGGGTTGACCTTACAGTTCAGGTGCAAAATTTCCACTGAAATAAATCCTCCCACTCTCCCTTATAGAGTTAAAGCTTCATTGTCCAAATGTGCACTTTCCCAGCACTGTTATGCATGAGGTCCATAAATACTGTTTTCTTTAATTTCAAGTTAAGACTCCACTAAGCAGTTCCTGGCAAACACTGTTGCAGAGGAAGGGAGAAGGCCCAATACAACAGATCACTAAACCAGAAGGTCCTGAATGCTATCTCAGCTTCTTTAAAATGCAAGAAAAGAATAAGAACAAGAGGAAAACAAACTCTGCCCTTGACCCTGTAAGAGCTGCCCCACACAAGAAACAGGGTTTGAAATATATGTTTTATAACTTCAACTTGCAAAAATTTCCACTTTCACGTACAAAGTCAAAATCTCAGGGTAACCAGACCCATCATTTAAAGCACTCACTTGTGAGTATTCCATGAGTAAAAAACAACTATAAAGGATCATACCCTTTAAAATAAAACCATGTATGGCAGCATCGGCCAAATATAACAGTCAATCTATTTTTTATTCCAATAAGATTGGATCTAGTTCACTTTTTAATCCCAGAGAAACACCCACTCATTGTGACTGTCAGCAATTTCTATGTACAACATTATGTCTTACCATGAGGGTTAGATGTGTTTACAAGCAATGGACCAAACCCTTTTGCTCCTGACAAAACACACAGCCATCCTGTGGCACAGAACGAAGGATAAATACATACATTGCCTTTTCCTACTTGGAATCAGTTCTCATTAAACACACAAAACCTGCATGTTCTATTTCAAAGCGAAGGTAAGGATGAGAAAACGTGGAAGGTCTGTTTTGTTTGCTCAGATGGCTCAGCCTAAGAGGATGCAACAGAGATCCTAAGAGGATCCACTTCTGCACTGCCCATTCCACTGATCTCAGGCTTACCCAGTTCATTAAAGGCCAGCTAACAGCTATCCACCTAAGGCATTCTCAGCCAGGATCTGAGCTACAAGCTTAAAACTGTTACTACAACCAGATAAAAACAGCAACTTCCAGCCTGCAATCCCAGGAGACACCTACTCTGTGTGCACCCACACAGCTCTCCTCCTGAGACCAAAACATTTTTGCTGCATTGGTTGCCTGAAAACTTTCATAGACCATCTGCAGCAGAGGGGTAACAGTTAAGAGCTTTGAATCCTGCAGAAATGTTGCCCTTTTCCCTCTGAGATGTCAGAAGAGTTCACCTGCTTGTAGATAAGCAGGGGCAAAGTCCCCTGAGGACAAGGCTCTGGATCTGGCAATGTGTTTAGATGAACCAGAGCACTCAGCATAGCTACAGAAGGAAATGGCACAAGTCTTCTTCATGCCCTGCAGAAAACCTCTGACTCCATGCTGGTTTTCATAACTAGCTTTGCAGAATTCCCTGCTTCAGAGACTGTGCAGTCCCTGGCTCCTTCTCAGCCTGCTGGTACAGAAGATAACTTGGAGGTGACAACAAAGCCAAGCACTTGAGTGATTTACCAGGGTCAGCAGTGCAGAAACAAGTGTCCACAGCAGCAGGCTGTATCCAAACCCCTTTTGAATCAACCAGAAGAGAACAGAGCAGCTAAAAGCCTCCTAGCTCTGCTCAGAACAGTGCTGTTCCCCAGGTGTGCAGAGCACAGGAGGGGTTGGTCTTGCCCTCTGCAGACAGCACCAGGGAAGCAGCACAGGACATGCTTGGCAGGCAATTTTCAGTTCCAAAGCTGATGTACCTAGTGTGTCAGATATTTTATGCACAGCTCTCCAAATGCTACAGTATACATAATTTCTACCTATCTATTAGCTTCAAGGACTGATAAGTGTCCTGTCCACAGTGAAGCAAGTGAGGAACCTACTCATTGAGATAGAATCTGCTGTGTTAAGAAAAGGCACAACGAAGTCAAGCAAAGAAAACAAGTTAAAGGGAAGAGCTACACAGTGTGCCAAAGTAAGCAGAGGTTGGAGCGAAAATGTTTAAAATGGAGATTTACAGCCTCACATTGCAAACATTGCCTGTGTACACAACATTAAAACCTGAGCTTTTAGCCATGTTTTGGTTGCTTCACAGCCCAGTTCATAATAAGGGGCGATGCAGTTAGTGCTAATGTGGGTCTCTCACGTCTGTTTACACAGCAGTGCTGCTAAACTCAGTTCAGTGAGGTCTCAAATCAAGGAAGCTGCATGCTATTAGATCCCTTGCTGTGGGAAGGCTGGTACCCAGCTCCCCTGCATCCCATACACAAAGCTGTTCCCACGCTCAGCAGGCACAAGATGCACCTCAGTGTCTTGGCCAAAGCTCTGGCAGGAGGTTATGAGAAGTTCTCTTGATGGGAGAATTTACTATTTCAATGATAGGCTGATCTAGACACACAAATAGGAGCTCCTGGATGAGCTGGTGACACCAGTTTCAGCTTCCTTACCAGCTTGTCCCAGTGCAACATACTCAGCTCTGGCTGTGCTGATGTGGCAGGTCAAACAGCAATGCAAAACAGTCCTGCAAGGCAGCCAAACTCATCATTTGCACAGGTTTTCACTGCAACAAGGTGGAAACTTCCAATTTAAGTGTTAAGAGTTTTATTTCTTGCTTAGGATATCTGTACATACCAAAGAAAATTAAATGGATCATTTAGAATCATGAAGGTTGGAGGAGACCCCTAAGATCATCAAGGCCAACCATCATTTAATCATGTCCTAGCTATATTATGTCAGTAAACAGTGCCATGACAAAAATAACTCCAGAGGTAAAAGGAATCACACTCTCAGAAGACCTTCTTTCAGGTCAACTGGTGATCACATCAAACTCCTAGCAAAGAGATTACTTTAATATTATAATTGGATGTGGCTGATAACTGGAGCTGATCTGCAAGTAGATCTGGCACATCTGCTTCAGCAGCAGCAAGGCAACACAGCTAGTTACTGCTGGTAAAAACTGCTGCCATCTCATCTGGTGTCCTGCCACGTCTCCCAGCACACTCACTG